CAGTGCCACTCAGAGCTTTGAATCGCAAAGATCTGAGGGGCACTGTCACTGCGCCCATCACCCTGGGACATAAGTTGATAAGTTCCATGTGCCTGTAATTTCACCAGCACCCTTACCCTTACAAATCGGAACGCAGTAATGCTGACATTACTGCTTGGCGGTAGAAATAGGTAAGGTGGCAGTACTTCCATGGACGAACTCTTTCACAAGGGTCTCTACTGCTACTAAAATATGATATTTCAATGATAACGAAAACTTCAGCAAGGGACAGAGCTGCCTTTGTGAAAAATGGTGCGAAGTTCCGTCTCTCTATTAATAACCTTAACATAGCACTTTATTGTGCGCATAGTATTGATTTCGAAGCGTAATTTAAACTTAGTTGACAGCTATAAGGTTTCTTACCTTCAAGGCTATAGGGAACAAGGGTGGCTTAACCAGGCCGCCCTTATTGTTTTAAATTTAACACTTTTTTAAATAGCGTTGATGGTAAAAACACAGTCTCCTAAAATTATTCATTTGAGATATTTATAATAATAATGAGTTCTTAGGTTCTCACGATTGTAGCAATCATGATAAGACAATGGAAATTGTATCATGTATGAACTGCAGTGTTCCAATCTTAACGTAACCCTGTTTGTGTAGAAATACGTTAAGTAAATGTTTTACAGCACTAACTACCTTATGTAAGAAGCTTTAATACTATAAAAAACATATGACTATCTGTGTAATTTAGAACGTCGCTAGATTAAATGACGAAGGAAAACATTGTGTGAAAATGAACCGTTCAAGTTTACATTTTACTTTATCGAGTTCGTCGGTTACCGCGATTGCTGCTACACATTGGAAATTAATTTTTATCGGATCCAAATCGTGTATTTGTTTTTTTAAACAAACCAATTCAGTCAACTGTGGCTATGAAACCTGTAAAAAACCTGAAGAGTTGGTTTGTATGAAAAACAAATAAACACGATTTATAGTCAGGTAAGAAGAACATACAGGAACGTCTGGCGTCCAGCGGCGAGATAGGCGGATGAGATTAGCACGGGAAGTGGCACATAAACTTGGAGGCCTGTACTCAGCAGCGGGTGAAGTCAGGCTGTATATGATGATGATGAAGAAGAAAAACATAATTTATTTTGACTCAAATGTTTTGAACTCTATAAAGAACAGAGATTAAACCTTATAATTTTTTATGATACTAATTGATGGGACGAACAAAAATGTGCGCCTGTTGGTAAGCGACACGCCTGTCCATAACAGTTGCAGTGCCGCTCAGAGCTTTAAATAGCAAAGATCTGAGATCAAAAGTCTACAAAAGAAGTAATTTCACCAGCATCAACCCTTCAAAACTGGAACGCATTAATGCTCACATTACTGCTTGGCGGCAGAAACAGGTAAGGTGGCAATACTTCCCTGGATGAACTCTTTCACAAGGAGCTCTATTGTTCCTTAATTTTAACATTAAACTTGCCCTAGTTTATCAGCTTTACGTGTTTTAACAATCATTACGTTCTGCTAACATTTCTAGTCGCTCAAAATATGGCGTAAGATGATCGAACAGCCTTTATATTTCTTATAAAGTTATTGTCTAAAAAAAATTAAAAATTTTAGAATAAGTTTTTTCCGCTTTTTGAATTTGGAACATCGTAGCGATGTCTCTTTAATATCGTTTAAACTAAATTGTTTGACTGTTTTATCGACTGAGAGACTATAGTGTTAAACTCTTTAGATTATTATGAATTAAGGCTTGACGTCCCTCTTCCCCCTGTGTTCTCTTACCCCACCTGACCCTGGATGCGTAACAAGCATTCATTTCTTATATTAGAAATCCTGTGTACTAAGGCGCCGTAGCAAATGACATTAAACAGAAATATTTTAAAAAACATCAAGTATTTAGATTTAGCGAACGTAGCTCTGTGGGAGAATGATTGCTTCGCTATTGAGACAAAAAAAATTAAAATCGACCTTATCCCAGGTCCATCATGAAATTTCATAATATTCGTAATAACAGCAACAACGTTCTCAACTGCAGTTAAAATAATAAAACAGACTGAAAGAAATACTTGGAATAGCCCCGGTACTGGCGGATTTATTTTAAGCTATATAGCTGTTTGTGCCGTACCACTTCCCAGATGTCAGATATTAAATGCTCTAGAAAACATTGATAGCGTTATCTCTAAAAGTAATTTAGTGTATACCAAAAATATTTCGAATTTAATGGCTGGTGATGAAAAGATTGAATCAGTTTGAATTTAATATTAATGTGGTAGACATAATAAGCAGCGGAAGCAATAGAGCTTCTTCCAGTAATCCAAGCCAAGCAGTAATGTGAGTATTACTGTACAGCGTTCTGGTTTTTAAGGGCGCTGGTTAAATTACAGGACTTTTATGTCTCAAGGCGATGGGCTCAGTGGCAATGCCTCTCAGATCTTTACGTTCTTTGCATTCAGGGACAGTAACAGCGTTTACCGTAAAATTAAATATTAGAATATGAGAGCATGGGATATGGATCTAAAAAAACCAACTACGCGCTTTACGGGCGTTACAGTATTCCCATGTGCTTTATGTGTAGTTGTCGCCTACTGCTTTTCTATAGAAAAATATCAACAACGTACTGACAAATTTCATATTAATTTATTTATGAAACATTAAATAAATTAATATTATTCATAATCAGAGATCGGAACCAGTCAAGAGTATTTTTCCTTAATTTGAAAGAAAGCTGTTTATTGCACAAGTATATTACACAAGCAATTTCAAGGAAATAATAAATACATGGGATAATACTTTGAAATAAATTCGTCAGAAATCCCAGAATTATTGAATTGTATTTTGTTCCATATTTTGAACTTGTTATTACTTTAATATTTATAGTAATGAAAAAGTTTTTTTAATTGCAGAGGGCGGTATTATCCACTCTGTATGATTACTTGAAATTTAAGCAAAAATACTGATTATAATAATACAAATCATGAGGTCTCATATTAAGTTTATTATAAAAAAAATTATAATTGAAAAAAGTAATGCCCATGGAACTTACTTAGGAACCCCATCTACAACACGGATAAGAAGTAGGTTCAACTCATGATATGAATTAGAAAAAAATTTACTCCATTAATGCTAGTTGAGTAACTGTAGCTGTTAAAAATTATGATCGAATAGAATATTATTTGTTCATTAACGATATATGCTATTATCATTAATTAAAGTTTTGTCCCATTAATTTAATTTGATCCGTTATAAAATGTTATCTAAATAAATTGGAATAAAGGTCGTAAATGTATCAACCAACATTAATTTTCACTTCTGGACATTGATTCGTTTAAAGTTTTACGCATTAAATAATAATAAAGCCTGTTTAGTTTCTAGATTTTAAAATAAATCAATATACAGTGGTCCTTTTTAAGTGAAGCCTTTCCAAGCTTTATCGTCCATATCCTTAGGATCATTGAACCAGTCTTTCCCAGTAACTTTGGTGATGTCATCAGTCCACCACTTTCTTGACTTTCCAAGTCTAAGCATGCCTGTTCAACCCTTCCATGATGTTACAGGGATTTTCCATCTCTTGTCACTATATTGTGAGCATGTCCAGCCTTTTACAAATTTTCTGGTGAGATTTAAAACTATGGTTTTACTTTTCTGTCTTGTATATTTATTAATTATTATTACTAACATTGCGTGTATTTTTATTAATTTCAGAAGCTTACCTGTCTTTGAGTCATTTTATTTTGAACTATACTAATCCAATAGCATTTATTCAGAAAAAAATTTATAAGACATTCCTATGCTTTTTTTATAAGAAGTGAGTAAAATACTGGGGACTTAAGCATTTCTTGTACCAAGCCACAGATACAGCAACCTAGAGCGAGCCTTTACCTAGCCATGGAGAATGGCATGTTCAATCAATTTCCACTTTAGCTGCCACAGTTAATCAAGAGTAACTAATGTATTTTCAATTTCAAAATGCGCAAAGTAAATCTGAAGCAAGTGACAATTATATTCACCAACAATATTAAATATGGATATCGCCTTACGATTACTATGTAGTAATAATAATGTGACTACCGTAGTGGAACATTGTTTGAGCAAATTACTGCAGTGACATGACGTAGTGAAATTTTGTACTTAAAAATAATTTTTTATTGAATAACTTGTAACAGACAGGGAAAGAAAATAATATAAACAAAATGCTTAGTAAATAAATCAAAACACAATGCTGGAACTGTAATAGGGTTAGGACTGAGGTATATTGATACCTCTCACAAGTAAGTTACTAAGTTGTTGTAAGTCAAAATGTCATTTTTTTCCATGCCTGAAAGTAAACCAAACACAAGTGATTTCTTTACTTTTAAATTTATGGAACCTACTATATACATAAAAAAGGGTATATTTAAGTTAAAAAGCAATAAATGCTATTTTGACTTACAACAACTTACATTATAGGAGGTATCGAGGTATATTCCACCAATTTTTAAAATCATTTATAGTGTCTATGAGGTCTCACATCTAGGTTCAAGATGCATTCATGTTGCTTTTTTTGTAGATTTTTAATTTATAAAAAATCTTCATTTCCATATTTAAATAGGATGTTTAAATAAATCTATTTCATTTCAATGTTGTGCCCACTTTTCATTTGATCCGAACCAAAGAGCGTAATAGTATTACATTGGTATTAAATATTGTACATGGTTTGAGAATTTATTAGAAAAAAGTTACTACAACAAAAACATGGCATTTTTGAGTTGTTTTAAAATGCAAATTTAAACACCATCTAAATGTTTATAAAATACAATTTTCAAGACTAAATTATAAGGTTTTGAAATACTGTGCTTCACAAATGTCTGCTGATACGGTTTGAGGTCTAAAAATGTATTGGATATCAGTTTTAGATTTTTATGATAGTATAATTCTTTCTAATACACATTTTATAGAGATCTGGACCCAATAGTGGGGCTGAGTTAGAACAAGTACGGTAATTGTGTTAGGTAGAAAAAACTTACCTCTTTGACAGTTTCCTGTTTATGTCTCACTTCTGGGTCTGCATCAGGTCCTAAAGCAACGGCCACGTATTTAAGTTCGGAGCCGGCCACCTTGGGCCCTGACGGCGAGACAAACTTGCTCGCAGCCTTCCCAGGCTCCTCAATGGCATTGGGAGCTTTGCTCGACGCTCGGGAAGACGAAATGGAAGGCCGAACTTCGAATTCTGGCCTTTCCAACACCTTCATACTCATGTCCTCATCAATTTTTGCCCGTAACCGATGCCTGTCCTCCACTACGTGAGGATCATCACCTTCTACTCCATGCCCATGGTGCATCATCCCTACCACAGGAAACTCTCCGACGTCATTTTGCTGCAGCGGAGGCGGCATCAACAACTCCGGACCAGCCTTCTGGATCCGTTTATACACATTATACACACTATCGTTCACACTCGAACTTTTAAACTCTGGCAAGTAAAACAGAGCTCCTAACCACACGATCGCGAATGTCAAAAGTACAGAAACAATCAAATATTTCTCCCGCAAACGGAACGCGCGACGGGATATGGACGGCACGGGGACGCCATTCACAAAACGCTGGTATGTAGGCAGGATCCCCGTCATGTTTACGTAAACAGTTCTAACTATAATTCTAAATAAATAGTATTAGCGTTCAAACAGACGACCCGTCACTAGTGGTCGCCATTAAACAACTGCCAAAAGTGCCAACTTGAAGTTTAGTAGGTTTTTACATTGTATACCAGGACACGTAAATGTTTTCTACCAATCTTCAATCATTCGTGTTATTTTCTTGTAAATTGGGAAGAAAACTTACTGTGCTCACATATTATACATAAACCATTACTTTTCTGCAGTACGCTCTTCAGTTTTAGCAAAATTTCTATGTATTAGGGCTCAAAAAACAACTTATTTCAAAAAATTTTTTGAGCGGTCACACTTTCCACGATAAATATTTTAAGCGCCATCTGTTGAGGATTACATGAATCGACTGGTTAACTTTTTTACGTTACCCATATCCATTGGGTTCATCATATATATTCACACTTACAACTTTCTTGTAGTTTTGGTCATAATTTATAGATGTCGTATCGAGGCTTTGTAAAAGCATTTGACGTGCACTATCTGTAGATTAGGTACAAGATAGATTATTAATTTATTATTTATAGAAAGTGTAATTATGCACAATTCCCTTTTTATTGTAGTCCTATGTTCAATTATTAATCTGCGTTCATGAGTTTACAAAATTGATAAATGGGATTCTATATTATTAATTTCAAAAGATCTATAACGTTAAGTACTAAGTAGTGAAATAACTTATAAAAATCGGTTAGAAATTAACGAATTGAATTCTTAATTATTTTTGTTATCTTTTTAAGCTGGTCGTTATTCAGCCATAATCATTGTAACTTACGCTCAATAAATAAAGTGTACCGTTGATATAATAAGGCTACTTCGGCAAAATGTCACTTTTCAGGAGAGAGGTTTCAAAATTCTACGATCGAAATCAGCCGATAACATTTTTTAATTGATTATATATAAAGAGAGTTATAAGATTTCACATATACGTAATTTGTTTCATATCGTTCATAAAAGCACTTTTTATGTTATGATTACATGTGGCTATTGTGGCTTTATTCATACGGGTATAACAAGCTCCCAACCAGTTACGTCTCAAACAAAACCCTCGCGGAGCGCAACGCGCGCCATCTAGTTTTAATATATAGCTTTATTACATTACATTATCAAGAATTCGAAATAATGATAATCGGTTCATCCATTCAAATTCATTCACAGAGAGACAACATTGTTGAGAAACTTTAACTCTCTTTTTTATTCCTAGCGAGATAAACAAACATTATCATGATGAGTTACACTAAACTTGCCTTCTTAACATTTCGAAGGAGTTGCTTGCAATAAACTTTCATCTTGGATCAAATCAAACATGCATTTATTCAGTAATTAATTATAATTATACTGCACAGTAGGAAGTTTGGATTACGGATAAAGGAGGAGAATAAAACAGCGAAATAAATTCAATTCGTTTTTATTTATATCATTATTAATTTTCCTTTTAATTTTATAATAACAAAATACGATTCATATTTTATTTCATATTTAAGTAATGATTATAAGTAGGTAAAAAAAAATACAATTACTTTAAGTACATTATTGTTTTTATACTCTCAAATGAGATCAGTCAAAACTTATTTAGCGATAATTTACATGTTTATTCTATTTTAAATACAATTTTATTTAATATCTATTTTTAAATATATTTGTGCTATGAACGGGGTTTGAATCTTGACATGTAAAAATCGCAATCCGGGCAATACATGGCGGGTGGATTAACAGGTTTTTTACGGCACAAGTTACATTGAGATTTCAGAGTAGCATTAGCTTGACTGTCACTTGAATAATTCCCGTTCATTTGCGGGGGTACAGGAGATTCCGTACCACCTTTAGTCCCCGGTTCGAAGGACACAGACTTCTTTTGAAGCTGTTTCGGTGGCGGCAAGTGTTGATACGGATTATACCCACTCTGGTACTGATATCCTATATCGTTACCATTTTCCATTTGACTGTACGTGCGCTGTTGGTTCGAGTACGTCCTAGCATCGCGTTGATTTGTATTATTGTCTAAGTGATACGTGTTATTAGGTACTCTCTGATAATTGTTATTGTAATTCTCAACTGGCATGTCACCGTGAGGCGGTGGTACCCTCTGGTAAGGCGATTGAGCTGAATAGTAATTGGCGTGGTTAGTACTCACTTGGTATCGACTAGAATACTCGGAGCTGGCGTAGCTTGTCGGTGGGCTGTGGTAGCTCTGGTAAGCTGGTGAGTTGGTGGGCACACTTTGGTATGGGGTTTGATTTTGATTGTATTGACGATTTGTGTTGTAGTTGTTGTTGTTGTTGTTATGCTGTGGCAGGCGGTGGTAATAAGCGTTGCTCGGTTGGTTGACTGGATGCATCTGGCTCGGTGGGTGCGGGTACGTGTTAGGAACGGGTCTTTGCAATGTAGAGGCGTGTTTCGCCATGTAAGCAGGATTGTGAGTTGGTGTCAACCTATTCGTTGGGTTTTGGCTAAAGTTCGGTGGGCTAGCGTTGTTTGTGTACGGCGCTGGAGGCTGAGTGTATGGTATAGGGTTAGTCGAATTGGCTACACTTGTAGGCAGGGTCTGATAAATTTGATTGTTCGCTCCATTTTGCGTTGGAGTTTGCACAGGTGAGTTCGTTCTGTACACGCCTGTGCTTTTCTGCGCATTAAACTGTTGCTGAGTTCTCGTCTGTGCAACTTGGTATGCAGGGTATGGGTTTTGTACTCGGATATAATCTGCATGTGCATTTTCTGTTGGCACGTACGAGTTTTGGGACATCGATGATATTGTGGATCGAGATGATTGACTATCGAAGGATTCCGTTCGTTGCAACGATGGCTTTTCTGATTGCAGCGGCATCGTTGTTAACTCAGGTTTGTTCATTGCAGATTTCAGAACTCTTTCTAATATAGGATTTGGAATGTAACTGTCGTCTTCTTGATCCTCTGCTGTTGCGACCAGAATCACTTGATCGCAGAAAGATACAGACTTCTTCTTAGGTTTAGTGCGATCGTTATAGCAGTTGTTATTCTTTTGTTCATTGTAATCGTCTTCGATGTGTTTGGGGTCTATAGACGATGAAGATGCTCGTCTGTTGTACATTCCATTGGTAGACTGATTGGAACAGTTGATAACGTCTCTGTTAGCGCTCATTCCCACAAATCCTATGTGAGATCTTTCCTCAGAAGTTCCGTTTGGAGTATTGTTCTCAAATCTGGAGGCGATGTTCCTTACGTTGTTTGCTTCTAGAGGACTCGAAAGTTGTCCCTCAAGAGAACCAGATCTTTTCAGTTTAAGAGCTGCTTGTTTGGCTTGCAGCTCTTTGAGCCAAGTGTCGCCAGAGCTCGTGTTTGTCTCTAGCTGATTCAACTTGGATAAACTTTCTTCGTTTCTCAAAATTTGATTTCGTTTTTCTTGCAACTGCGCCAGTAAAGAGCCTTTGGGAATTTCTGTCTCATTATGATTAATACCATTCATATTTTGACTATTCATTGTTTGAATCTTATCGAGTTCTTCGTGTAGAGGAGTCATATCGATTGGTGGTGGCGGGGGTGGGAATTCTTCACTAGGTTGTCTCGAGTGGTTGACTGAGTTCAATGGGCTTGGATATGGCGGGAGGTCAAACAACTGCGGCGATCGCCGCACCGGCATGGCGCAGTCGACTACATCAACTCCATTGTCAAATGCGTTACTAAGATTTTGGATATTGTTATGTGATGGTTGAATGGGATGTAACGTTTCTCGTTTGATTGGACTTTGTTCTTGATGGATCATCGCCTTAGTAACAACCGTGTGGAAGTTCTGTGATGGAGAGTCCTCTAATCTGTAGTGATTGTTCTGTTTGTTGTTGTATGGCATGAATGGCAGTGACTGGGGTTCATCTCCGTATTGTTCAGAGAAACCACCGTCTTCTTCAACGTCTTGAGGGTATGAGAATTCTCCCCGATCGGCATTGGGCAGCGGCTGTGGTGGTCGCGACTGTATGCCGTGCTCCATCACTTCGGGCTCGAACTTAGCGCCGCTAAGCTGGGAAGTGGTTCGCAGAGGTGGCGGAGGCGGCACCTTAGCCGCAGTTAAGATCTTACCAGCGCTGCCATGGAAACTCTTCCTCATAAGTTTACTTCGCTCGAGATTCGGATTAGTGCCGCTTGCGGTCGAGTATTCTAAATGACCTTCTGATAAATATCCACTCAAATTGCACTTGTCTTCATTCTTTTTGCGTCCAATATCGCCATCATCAATACAAATTATTTTCTCCTTTTTGCTAGTTTCATTGTTAGCATCAGCACCTTCAGTAAGATCAGGCATTGATCTGTTTTTGCGTCTAATTAAACCACCCATAAGCAGCTTTCGACGGATTTTATGCTGTTTCTTATTGGCTTTCTTTTCTTCGGCAGTTTCTTCCTTCTTTTCTGTCGCAACTTCCTTGCGTGCTCTACCACGATCTTCACTTCTAGAACGTTTTTCTCTGACTTTGTCATCGTCTCGAGACTTATGTCTTGGCGGCCGTTCACGCGGGGGATTATCAATGTCATCTTCAATACTGCATTTGGGCGATTTCTTTGAAGATCCTTTTTTCTTAGGCAACGTGGCATAGATCTCAATGGTAGTTGGAGAACTTTCGAGACCTCCCTTTGTGTTTCTAATAGGAGCAACTTGAGGAATTTCAGAAGATCTGTTCAAGCCAGCCATTCGTCGTTGCAGGCTACGAGTTCGCATGACACATGTATTGTGCTTCATTCTGGCAAAAGTCATTGTGTGAGGATTGTTATATGGAGCGTCCATTGCAGCTCTCGCTTTGGAAGCAGCCGCGTCACATAATACCAATGCAGTTTCGTAATCCGCAGCATCTTCAGCGTGACGAGACTTTTCAAGTAAACGGTCAGCCTCCAAACATAATGCCTCACAGTCTCCTCTGGTAGTTAATTCAGGAATTTGAGCTAGGTGCAAGTTATGTCTTAAGCCTTGCTGCAGGGGTAAACTATCTGTTGACGATAAAGAGTAGGAGTCATATCCAGCGTCACAGGAACCTCCACTGGATAACTCTCCTTTACGTGTGGGACTTCCTGGCACACTTCCTGGACCGCGCCCGCGGGAGTACATATAAGGGCTTTCCACAGTCGATGAAGAAGCCGATGACGCACTGTTTCTATCACCGCTCCAGTTACCTGAATCTCTTCTAATTCGTGGCCTTTCTTGACTGTCAGAAGTCGAACCAGTACTTAAACTGCGAGCTAGCTGTGCTCGTCGGTTTGCTTGTACTTCTAACATATTCTCAACTGCTTTTCTACTGACGTAATCGTTTTCGTTATCAGGACCTGGAGTTACTGCTCTTCGCGCGAAGGCAGCATTCGGTCGGTCGGGCGCTGGAGTGATTGCGCGTCTTGGTTCAGGAGCAGGGAATGGCACAACTTCTTTAGGAGCGTGTCGAGTGTCACATGGTGTTCCATCAACAGCAGCGTACAACAATAGTAATGGCTGGAATCGTCCCCTTCTGCATTTTTCAACAACATGGGTCCATTCCGGTCCAATTTCTTTGACATCAGCGTCGTCAAAGTAAATCCATAGTCGTAGTTTACTATGGAAAAAGAACGTGGAGTAGTGTTTCCCATAGTAAGTGACAAGGCCAACTAATCGGTGGGTGGCTCGTGATGCCCAGGCGTGGTCTACGCAGGCGTGGAAGGCATCTGTAGGTCGAAGGTCGGTGCCGAGGGCAGCATAGACGGCGGCAACATGTTCAGCAGATGGTCGCTCAGAATCCCACACCATACCGATGGAGACGACTTCTGGACGATTCATTAGTGTTCTACAGATTTGTATTTTGGCTCCACAGGCATTCTGAAAAAAGAAATAAAGAAAATGATAAGCACATAATTTCTTTACTATCAATCATAAATTTAAAAAAAGTTTATAGAGTGAGAGAAAGTGTATTTTAGCTTGTATATTTCAGGGTTCCAAAGCGAAGCTTACCGGGCAATCTCTGATGTCACCCATGCCGCCGGCTTTTCTTAGCAGCAGACCGAAACTGTCCCCGTGTTCGCCAAGAGCGGCTTGAGCAGTCAACGCGGTTGCAGACACATAATGTACCATCTGTAAATTAAAAAAATGTATAGATTGGATTTGTAAATCTCGATATAGCTTAAAAAAATTTCAGCGTGAAATGTGTTTAATTTGGCTTATAAAATAAAGTGGCTGTCTATCAATATATGCATATAAATACTTGCTTGATTAATTGTCAAACAACTATTAGTCTGTGAGGTTTAGACACTTGTAGTGTTGATGGTACATTTACAACATTCCACAAAGCCTAAGGCTCGTAAAAGCAGATAAGAACCTGAGTAAAAGGTAGAGGTTCCGATGTGGCCTGGCAAGCTCCGCAGACTGACTGCTCGACGAGCATCATGGCAAACTTCCTATGCGGCACGCAGTGAGGAGCTCTGCATGCGTCATCTTCTCGCCTGTCACCTGATCCGGCTGCTACATGTGCGTGTACTCTGGAGAGGGTGAAAAGTAATGGTTTACATTAACATGGTTATATTGCGTTAAAGATAGCTGTATCTGAAATAATAATGGCACATTTAAGTATACTGTAATGTTTAGAGGAGGTACTAAGCACTTACTTTTACAAACTTATAAATTTGATTAATACATAAAATGGTAGACCTGATTCTATATGTTGAATAAACTCAATTAAAGTTACTAACTTTCGTAGGTTCCAAAGGCAAAGAAACAAAAATTATGTTGTTTAAGGAATATTTAACAACAATGCTCACTTACAAGTAATTTGGGGCAATTAACGCTTTGTTACAGTTGGGAAAACAAAGAAACATCGCCTAGGTGTTTAATATCAAGAAATGTGTGTGAATTTCGCACATTACTATAAAGTAGAACTACTTTTGAGTCGAGAAATAAAAGATATATACTTTGTAAAAACTCAAGGATTTCGATGTCGAATGCGTAAGAGAATGGAGTAAGATCAAACATTAATTTTCTTACTTAACAGTTTGAATATACCAAAAATAATAAACCATCAACAAAATGAAGAAACAGGTAACTTGCGGGCTGAGGACTTTGCACTTTGTAAGTCGTGACTTTTGTCACATCAAGCAGATTCCCTTCAGCGAAGTGATACTTTCACATTTTTCAGGTAAGGTATGTTAAAGCTTACCTTAAAAGCAAGTGTTCGAAGCATTCGCTAGCGTCTGCCATGCATCCAAGCTGGAAGCGAGCGCCGGCGCCGCCGAGGGCCCGCCGAAGACTGTCGGCGGCTGGTGCTCGTTCTGCTGACCATTGCAGTTGGGCAAAGAGTTCCTGGAGACAAAATAAAGAATTTGTAAGTTTTGTATTATTTTTAGAGGTTTGGTACTTTCCTTAAAGATGAAAAAATATCACACACGAAAGCAATCGATGAGAGTCGCGGCGTGAATAACTTGGGGTGGTTCATTGTCTGTACTATAAACAATTACTAGTTAGCGATTTAGTATTTCCATTAGGGATTTATATAACTGTATTTAAGGAATTTCTATGATTCATAAGAAATATAAGAAATTCGATTTTTTGTTCTGCGTTGTTTTCTGTTCTTGTTGTGTAAATTTGAATCTTTTGAGGATCAATAATAATTCTACTTTGTGGAACACCATTGTAAGTGCTAAGAGTAGAACTGTACTCTTTATTTTATGGACATTTATATGCTGATGGATATGCTAAGCAAACAAGAACTGTACAACCTCAATACATACATCTAACAAAGGAGTGTCCATTTTATGACACTACAGAAAGAACTAAAAACGTTTTGGCAAACATTTCGCATACAAACATGAATCTGGCACAAAATATTGATTCTTCGAAAGAAGCGTTCACAATAACACGTTCGAAACGAAAGTCTTGACCGTGAAGTTGAAATATGAACCTTCCCATTAACCATTGAAGGTGGAAGTTCCAAAGGCAATATAAACAGAGGTGGTTTGACCAGTACGGCATGGTAGGTCAGAACACGCGGTGACCCCGTCGTTTTTGTCTTTCGTAATCGGTCAAAACACGAGGTGAGAAAGATCAGGTTTTGATGGGAGGTAGATATTTAAGTGGCTTATGGATAAAGTGATAGTTGATGTAGATGTAGGTATCGATTCGTTAGAAATCAGAAACATATTTGACACCTAAATTTTATATTTATTGTTATGGGTAATCTATTAGGTTTCTACTACGACTTTTATTAGAAAACTTTATTTTTTTAGAGGCATATATACAGCTATAGATGTTTTAACGTGAAAACTTGACATCTATAGATATCGTTACTACAATAGACCTTGATATGATGTTTAAAAGCAACTGCACTATCCGGTGCGGAACTACGGGACGGACGCAGCTTGCCGTGTCTTCCGCTGCACTTGGAGCAAAAAAATTACTTACTACAGGAAGAGTCTGCCTCGTTACGCTATGTTGATGAAAATGCAAGCTATTTTAAGGATAGTAAAGATATAAAATAATGCATTCTGTACTGTTTTATTTTTGTCGTAAGTAAACACTGAAAAATTTGTCTTATTAGGAAACTTAGTCAGAAGGGTGACAGTATATAACGGGCGTGAACTTCTACAAAAAAAGAGCATTTATTGTATTTAAGTTAGCAGCCACAGTTTAAAGTTGCGATATCGGTTGTAGTTGTCTTGTAACTCCTCTTCAATGAACACCTTTCAACATTTCGGTATAGAAATTTAATGGTATTTGCCGTCTTTGCTAGTAAAACCACTTAACACATTTTTCTCTTATTGTAGTCGTACAAAGGCATTCATTACCACCATCTCCTGATTTGGTCCGAAGGATAAACTTACATACTGATGCATCATTACAAACATGAGGATTTTGTATTAACAGTTTTCTTTTGAGTAACTGTTAGTTAGGAACTGTTGTTAGCTCTATTTGGCCACTAGACGCTAAGTCTGATGAGGGTCTACTTTTGGCAATAATCTATTAAAAAAGATGTAGTGACACTATTCCGAATAGACCTGATTTAGAAAGTCCAAGACCACAAGGTATCTCTAGGCTTGTACTCATTGAAGATATTATGTGATAACAAGTTCATGAGGATAGCATGTACTCGTATTTATATTGTTTTGATACAAGTGATGATAAAGAAGCGTCAAGTTCACGGAAAGATATAGTGGTTCATAACAGGAACATGTTACCGGAAAATGTTTATTTCTGCTAGCAATGTCGTGAGAAAAATGGCAACGACTGACTCGGAAAGAGCGACTACCAAATCATTGCCAGAAAAGTAAACTAAAGTTAAAGCAAGTACTATTAATTTCAACATTGTGTGATGTAGACTTTGCGAAAGCTACTCGTTAATAAAATAATAAAATAATAAGTGATCATATAAGTATATTAAAAAAAAAGATGGCAGACAAAGGATGAAAATTATTTAATAGATGAATTTTCAGTAACATCCCTAATAGCGGCGGTCTGTCAATTATATTCAAATACTGATTTCATACCTTTTGACACCTACTTTAACACATTGACTTTACAGTCTAGGGACAAATCGTAGCGGACATTACACGACTGGATTTGGATGCTTGTGACAATACTTGCAAAACGAATACGTCCCATTGCCGGGCACGTCTCTTTTCAGGCGAGGATTTAGGCCACAGTTCGCCAATTAATTTATATAATTAGCAAGACGCTCTGTATGTTCATATATGGCATTTGCAAATGTTTTTAATGTAATTTCCACTAAAGAGCATAATTATATTTATATATACATACAGTCATACAACGCACCTAGTGAGCGTGATAATGGTAGCCTAGATACCGGAGTGCCCTAAAATCTCAAATGAAAAGGTGCAGAATTGCCGATGTCAGAGTTCAAGTAAAAGCTGTGAAAGAAACAAACACGTGAGAATAAGCATGCTGGAATACCGATTGCGGTGAAACTGCTTCTTGTTACTTCTGATTGCCTGGTACTCGCGATTAACCAGCCTAATTATGTATGTGGTTTCTTTATTGATTTTGTGTAGTTTGATATTTATTATATTTTATTAAATAATACGAGTTACACTAAACGAATAACGTATATGTGAGTTTAGCTCTTCTATTTAAGCATAAAAAGTAGACTAGATTTAGACTAATTACGTTTGCAGCATCTTCAAACCTCTTTCCTAAAATGTTGACATTTTTACAGATGTGACTTTAATATGCCAAAAGTGTGATTTATCTCTTAGAGAGTCACCACATTATTAACAGAATTAGCTTAAAGCTTAAAATTTTTAAGTCCAAACTGAGGGAAATATTTCTAACTGCTCAGAAGAGGTATGCTGAATCATCCCAGGGACATCAAAATATGTTATAAATAAATTTCAGATACATTTTGTACGCGTTTGGGATAACTGTTGTGGTTTTGTTATTTTTTTGTTTCCCTTTAAACCGTTTTTTTATCCTATTGTTTTGGTTTTTTTTATTACGCTTTTTACATTTAAGGAAATGTTATTTTCTGTCTTAAAATTGACAATCCCTGTCGGCGGGAAATAAATGGAATTTGAAATTTGAATTTGAAAAGCATGGACATAAACTTTTTCTGACCGATTAATGAGGTTCCATATCGATAAATGTGGTGTCTCCCTTAGTACACGCCATTAAAATGTAAAGTATTCTTGTAGCCGGTAACCGCACAACAGAATCACGCTTTCAGCGATTCTAAAGCTTCAAACAATAAAATTATCTATGCAAGTGAACGTTTCATCGTAAATCACAGCCCTTTATTCAAACACGTGTTTTAAATATGAATGTGAAATTAAGCGACACTGTTCGTTACAAATTTCCTTCGAAGACAATGGCCAATACTTACTTACTTACATACATACACAGAGACATGACATTCCCGCTTACCCCGGCGGTTGCTGCGTGCTTTGAAAGACAATGCGTTTCGTAAAATATGTTAAGTAAATTGCACGAACATATGTCGAAAGCTATAGGTCGATATGTACCTATATGTAGCCCATCTTATTTATTTTAATAGATAAGATACACGTTTGTCCACTATCACTTAATGATGAAAATATACAGAATTTCATTAAGAAAGAAGATATCCATAATATTAACCTTAGAACTAAATCCAAACTCTTGGTACCACGATTAAACGATTCTTTTATGGGGAACTTTATACGTTTTTACAATAAGATTCCGGAGAATATATTAAGATTATCATTTCCTAAGTTTAAAACTTAATTAAAAGTATTTTAATTGAAGATGCGTATTACAAAATTGAAGAGTATGTTTTAAATAAAGAGGTATGGAGAGACAACAAGAATCTAGATTCCACACTCATTGCATGAACGAGCAGTAGCTTAAAAAATGACGTTTTCAAATGTAAAAATTTTACTTGTGGAATAAATGATTATTTGATTTTGACTTTGATGGTACCTATATGATGACGACCCCAACTATAAATTTTCGGACCAACTCTAGATGCCGGTAGTGTGTTCCGCTTTAGGAAGAAGGAAGCAAAGCTTTCTTGCGAATAAGTGGTACATCAATGACATAAAGATGGATTGTTCCGGCTTTCTAGTCGGCTAAAGGAGGAACGACGGGGTAGGCCAGACATGTAAAATTCATTCTCGGAATTGTATGAGATAGAAAGCCGGCAAGCCGTTAGTAATAATTAAAGTATCTTGAAGAGTGATTATATAGATAGATTATAGAAATAGAACAATGGTCAATGGTCTCACCACTAAGGATGCCGAAGACCGTGCAAAGTGGAGGAGAAAAAGCAGGAAAGCGGACCCCGGGCTCCGCAGCAACACTACTGAGGACACAACCGGGACAACGCTCAGATGAGAGAGAGAGAGAGAGAGAGATTATAGAAATAAAACAGATAGCAAAGATCTGCAAGAAACACAGAAAAAATCGTAAAGTCCGCTAGTTCGTTCCGTGGCTTAGTTGGTTCAAATCCAGCCGGATCCAAGGAATTTTTTCTTAGTGCACGATCTTTGCATTAATAATGATAACAAACTAATGGAGTGATTTCACAAAAATAATTAAATAACATGGTGGTCAAACATCATGTCATCGTGACATTCAATAAGAACTTAAAGCTTACACTATAAATAGCTCAAAAGGATAAAATCTTAGTATTCAATTCAAAAGCAGATATCCAAATTTGATCTTAAAGCCGAAAGCCCATAAAAAGCGCGCTGTAAATCTTTGCGCTCGCGCATACAAAGTTCGACTTCTAGTTAAGTATTCTCGACAAATTGCCTTTAGTGGCTTCGTCTAAGCAGGACGGTCAGATACGGACTTTGCATGGCAAGTTGGCTTGT